TAGATAATTTATTTAAATTAGATAAAAGGAGAGTACTTAAAATTTAAATAAAATAATTATATATTTTTTCTAAATGAATTACATATATTCTCTAAAGATCTTAGCAAAAATAAATTTGTATAAAATTTTAAAACTTGTTAATGATTTTTAACTTGTTAAAATTAGACAAAAGAAAAGTTACTTAAAAATTACTTTGAAATTTATGCAAAAAAAATTACTTTAAAATTTTGTACTAATTTTGAATTAATTTTTGCTAAGATCTTTTTTAGAGAACATATATAATTATTTGAGAAAATATATGTATAATTGTTTTATATCTAATTAAATAATAGGTTCAAAATTTTATGATTACAAAAATTATATTTTCAAAATTGCACCATTATTTTTCAGCAAACTGCATACGTTTATGTAGCAATTATTTTTTAAAGTAATGATTATTTCTTTACTATGTTCTAATTTGGATTTTTAATTTATTTGTTAGAATAACATAGCGACATTGCAGAATAGCTTCACTGTTGCGCATCAGGTCGGTGATAAATCAACATTTATTGGGGTAACGGATATGATAATTTTATTAGTGTATTATGTATATACCTGAATATAAATATGTATGGATTTAATTACAATATGCGGACAAATATATGTATAGCATTGCATACATCTGTTTCCTTAAAATAAAAAAGTTAAAACTGATTAGGATAAATTTTGTTATGTATGTCTAATTCTTTGGCGAATTTTAAATCCATCAAATTTTTAAAGATTAGCGTTAGAAAATATAGAAATTTTAGGAAACGAAATTTAAAGTTGAAATTAAGCAGGATAATATAACAAAATATAAATTTATAACAAGAACATTGATTTTTTTATTTGCACAATTATAAACTTATGTTACAACATATTACTTTATTAAAAATTAAATAATCCTTATATGTGAAATAAATATTTTAACAAGTGTAAAGAAAAAATAATGCTGCTTTCCGTCCTTTGCTGCTCATGTACTTATCGTGCATCAAATACAACAACTGAAAGCAAGATTATGAAATATAATTAAGAAAAATTTCTAGAAATTCGATTTTGCTTGATTAAAAAATGTCAATCGTGTTAAGTCGAAAACATTAAAAAACATACGTCTTTTTGTACGCTTCTTGTACATGATTCTATATCCACATTCTCTACATCGAATTGCATCTTTGGCACGAATCTCGTTATCGTGATGACATTCTGAAATAATGAGTTAAAAATTTGATTAATGATGTAAATTAGGTAAAAGAATGAAAATAGTTTTTCGTTACAATTTATCTTAATAACTACTACATGTATCAAAATTGTTCGACAAAATTAGAAAGTGCTTTAAAATGTAATTTATCAATTTCCATAAACAATTGATATAGTTTATAAAATATTAAAGTCTTAAAACTTTTTAAATAAACATATAAATGTGAATAATTTAAATGAAAATTGGCAAGCAATGATATTAAGAGATTATTTACTAAAATGTAAGGTTAGAAATAGTTATCACATGCGTGTCCTTACCTCCACAAATGTATACCATAGCTTGTTTCGGGATAGATTCAGATTTACCAGACTCCATTTTAATACTGTTGTGACATAATAAACAAATTGATTTTTTAGTTACAATAAATCTTCGTTATCATAGAATACGTGTTGTTAGCAATGAAATTGCAGTACGATCAAATATGACGCAGTTAGAAAACTGACTTTAATCGACTAGGACCGACTATCGATTGGGAACTTTTATTGTAGTATCGCGCGCCCTCGACAGAAAAAACTTGAGAGTGGTAGAACATGAGTCTTTAGCATTGTTCGTTTTGTCTCTCGGGAGCTGCTCAGATCGCTCCGAATGAAATCAGTGTACTTGAAATGTAGGATTCACACTACGTACGACATTCGTCATGTACGACGACCTGTATTCATCGTAACAATGATCATCGTACGTAATGTGAATCCTATATTTCAAGTTGGTCATTCAGAATGATCCCGTGCAGCTCAAAACGAACAATACTATTAAATCTGCGAGCGCGCGATCTTACAATAAAAGTTCCCAATCGATAGTCGGTAAGTCGGTCCTAGTCGGTCAAAGTCGGTCTTTTAATTACGTCGTTTGGTCGTGTTGCAATTTCATTGACAACAGGACAGTGTGTATTGTGTGATAAGGAAAATTATTGTAACCAAAAAATCCAATATTATATCAGTTTATTATATATATATATATATATATATCACCATCAGTGTTAAAATGGAGTCTGGTAAATCTGAATCTACTCCAAAACAAGCTATGGTATATATTTGTGGAGGTAAGGACACGCATGTGATGACTATTTCTAACCTCACATTTTAGTAAATAACCTCTTAATATCATTGCTTGCCAATTTTCATTTAAATTATTCACATTTATATGTTTATTTAAAAAGTTTTAAGATTTTAATATTTTATAAACTATATCAATTGTTTATGGAAATCGATAAATTATATTTTAAAGCGCTTTCTAAGTAGAGAAATTTTGTCAAACATGATATATGTAATAATTATTAAGATTAAATTGTAACAAAAAACTATTTTCGTTTTTTTATCTTATTTATCGTTAATCAAGTTTTAACGCATTATTTCAGAATGTCATCATGATAACGAGATTCGTGCCAAAGATGCAATTCGATGCAGAGAATGTGGATATAGAATCATGTATAAGAAGCGTACAAAAAGACGTATGTTTTTTAATATTTTTGACTTAACACGACTGATATTTTTTATACAAATATAATCAAGCAAAATTGAATTTCTAGAAATTTTTCTTAATTATATTCCATAATCTTGCTTTCAGTTGTTGTATTCGATGCACGATAAGTACATGAGCAGCAGACGATGGAAAGTAGCATTATTTTTTCTGTACACCTGTTAAAATATTTATTTCATATATAAGGATTATTTAACTTTTAATAAAGCAATGTGCAGCATTTTTTACCGGAAATTAACTTTATTCCTATCCTACATTATTTTCCACGCCTAAAGTTGTACTGTTGTTCCTGCAAGATCATTATATAAAGACGCGTATTATCACGAATCTCTTCGTACAATTTGCATTAGAATCCCTAGATCCGATGGACATTCCATCTAATAGAATTTGTTTCATGCGTATTGATTCAGATTATATAATATACAAAATGTTTTAAGCAATATTCCTTTTATTTACAATAAATAAAAATTACATTCTCATCAATATAATTCAACAGAATTCACAGAGGAAGAGAAATGACGGTGACACTGGCAAAACAAGTTGGCGTTATTACCATAAATCCCATTGTCACTTTCTCAAGTATACGCTTATAAAATTTTCACTCCGGTCCCATTGTCTGATATATACATGTATATGAGCGTAAACGTTCGATATACAGTATGGTTTTAATTAAAGATTTCATGACAAAGTTCTTGAACTAGAGATAGCTTGTCGATGCAACTGGAGCTCGTAAAGCACATAATATAATATATTTGCGCGAGCACAAAGAGACGGGGTATATTCTTTACCCGTTTTCTCTCTCTCTCTCTCTCTCTCTCTCTTTCTTTTTTTCTATCCCATGAAAAAACATTTATAAAATCTTAAAGATCCTATAATACATACAAAATACTATAGCGCCAGGTGTTTGTAAGTGTCACCGTTCGCACGCTGCGCGTATACAAAATTTAAATTATCCATAAAGATATGGAGCGGAGCGGAGTCTTTATTTTTTCTACGGAAACACCGCAAAAATTCGGACGACCAAATAGTCGATTTTTGTCTCCGTAAAATGTAAATCGGTGTAAAATCATCTAGAAATTCGTACAAGCTCGATTTTTTCTTTCTATTCCCATTCATTGTCCGCAAATCTAATACTGAGTCTGGAAGAAGCCAAGCCAAGCCAACCGTTTTTTGTGAAAATCGTAGACGCACGGCTGTCAACAAAATAAATATGTCTCTGTTTCTTTTTTTTTTTGTTAGATACGCTTGTACTTTTACTTTAGGATATTAGTCAGGATATTCGCCATATGGTTCTTTTCGCACTTATCACAATACAGACTACTTAACCGAATATCGTAAATATTGTAAAAGTATGTCGAGTCGTCTTAACAAACATTTACCCGAATTATTAGACTGTATAGTGTATGTATATATATATATATATATATATGTCACACATA